TCAATGCGTGAGGTCTGGAGCTAAGGACTGACCCATCCCAAGCAGAGCAGCTCAATGCGTGAGGTCTGGAGCTAAGGACTGACCCATCCCAAGCACAGTAGCTCAATGTGTGAGCTCTGGAGCTAAGGACTGACCCTATCCCCATCCCAAGCCCAATGTCAAAGGCCTATGTTAAGAAAATAAAAAACAGGGGCTGGGAAGGTAGCTCAGTGGTAGAGTGCTTGCCTTGCACGCATGAGGCCCTGGGTTCAATTCCTTAGTACCACATAAGCAGAAAAAGCCAGAAGTGGCGCTGTGGCTCAAGTGGTAGAGTTCTCGCCAGGCCAAGAGTTCAAGGCCCACGACTGACAAAAAAAAAAAAAATTTTTTTTAAAAAAAGGAAAAGAAAAAATAATAATTTTTAAAAAAGAAGCCTGTGGGGGGGGAGGGGGGAGGCTGGGAAGTGATGTGAAGGGTAAACAAAGGAGGAGGCTGCAATGCTTGGTAAGAAATGTACGCATTATCCTGCCCATGCAATTGTAACCCCTCTGTACAGTATTTTCACAAATAAAATAAAATAAAAAAATAAAAAAAAAGAAATGTACCCATTACCTTGCTCATGTAATTGTAACCCCTCTTTATGGTATTTTCACAATAAAAAAACTTATTAATTAATTTAAAAAAAAAAGAAGCCTGTGGGTTTTTTTGTTTTTGTTTTGTTGGTGGTGGTCAGGGGACTTGAACTCTGGGCCTGGGCGCTGTCCCTCAGCTCTTCAGCTCAAGGCTAGAGCTCTACCACTTGAGCCACAGCACCACTTCCAGTTTTCTGGTGGTTTATTAGAGATAAAGAGCTTCAAGGACTTTCCTGCCCGGGCTGGCTTTGAACCGCAATCCTCAGATCTCAGCCTCTTGAGGAGCTAAGATCTCAGCCTCCTGAGTAGCTAGGATGACAGGCGTGAGCCACCGGCACCCACCATTCTGTTCTTTTTTTTTTTTGTCGGTCATGGGCCTTAGAACTCTGGGCTTGGGCGCTGTCCCTGCACTCTTCAGCTCAAGGCCAGCATTCTCAGCCTCCTGAGTAGCTAGGATGACAGGCGTGAGCCACCGGCACCCACTGTTCTGTTCTTTTTTTTTTTTTGTCGGTCATGGGGCTTAGAACTCTGGGCTTGGGCGCTGTCCCTGCACTCTTCAGCTCAAGGCCAGCATTCTAGCACTTGAGCCACAGTGCCACTTCCAGTTTTCTAGTGGTTTATTGGGAGATAAGAGTCTCATGGACTTTTCCTACCCGGGCTTTGAACCAAGATTTTCAGATCTCAGCCTCCTGAGTAGCTAGATGACAGGCGCCGGCTCCTCTGAGCTTTTTGATTCCTCCTCTGAGCTTTTTGATTCAAGGCTAGCATTCTACCACTTGAACCCAGCTCCACTTCCGGGCTTTTGGGTAGTTAATTGGATAATAGACTGATGGGCTTTTCTGCCCTGCCTGGTTTCAAACTGAAATGCTCAGATTACAGCCACGAGTAGCTAAGAATACAGGTTTAAGCCACAGATATCCTGCTTGTATCTTTTTCTTATTTTGGTTCCAGTACTGGGGTTTGAACTCAGGGCCCGGGTGCGCTGTCCATGAGCTCTTTTGTTGTTTTTTTTTTTGGTCAGTCATGGGGCCTGAACTCTGGGCCAGGGCGCTACTTTCAGCTCTTCAGCTGTAGACTAGCGCTCTACCACTTGAGCCTCAGCCCCACTTCCAGCTTTTTCTGCTTATGTGGTGCTGAGGAATCGAACCCAGGGCCTCATGCATACAAGGCAAGCACTCTACCACTGAGCCACCTTCCCAGCCCCTGTCCATGAGCTCTTTTGCTCAAGGCAAGTAAGTGCTCTACCACTTGAGTTCCATTTCTAGCCTTTTGGTAGTTAGTGAGAGATAAGAGTCTGAAGAGCAGGGGCACCAGAGGCTCACGCCTATAATCCTAACTACTCTGGAGCCTGAGATCTGAGGACCACTGTTCAAAGCCAAGCCAGCCTGGGGGAAGGAAAGTACCTGAGACTCTTATCTTCAATAAACCACTAGAAAACCAGAAGTAACCGTGCTGGTGGCTCACGCCTGTAATCCTGTCTACTCAGGAGGCTGAGATCTGAGGATCGAGGTTCAAAGCCAGCCCGGGCAGGGCAGGAGAGACCATGAGACTCCTATCTCCAATAAACCACCAGAAAACCGGAAGTGGCGCTGTAGCTCTAGTGGTAGAGCGCTCGCCTTGAGCTGAAGAGCTGAGGGACAGCGCCCAGGCCCAGAGTTCAAGCCCCACGACCTACAAAAAAAAAAAAAGAAAAGAAAACCAGAAATAGTGCTGTAGCTCAAGCACAGCACTTGCCTTGAGCTGAAGAGTTGAGGGATAGTACCCAAGCCCAGAGTTCAAGCCCCAGGACCAACAACAACAACAACAAAAAAAAAAAAAGTCTCATGGACTTTCCAGCCCAGAGACCTGAAATCCTCAGATCTTAGCCCCCAGAACAACTAGGATTGCAGGCATGAGCCACCAGCGCCTGGCTCTGCTGTGTAGATGCTGTGTAGTGCTTGAGAGGCTGAGGAAGGAGGACAGCAGGCTCAAGGTCAGCCTGGGCTGTACAGAAAGACCCTGTCTCAAAAATGAAATGAGAAAGAAAACAATTTAATCACATGAAATAAAGGAAGCAGTGAAGTCAAGTGCCAATATCTCCATCTATGAAAGAAAGAAGATAGAACTTCCTCCGGGGCTGCGAGGGTAGAACAAGCCCGTGTGACAATCACCAGAAAGACAACATGTACCTGGCCATAACAGACTAGAACAGATCTAAGGGGGCTAAAAAGATGGCTCAGTGGTAGAGCGCTTGCCTCGCATGCATGAGGCCAAGTTCCATTCCTTAGCACCACATAAGCAGAAAAAGAAGTGGTACTGTGGCTCAAGTGGTAGAGCACTAGCCTTGAGCTGAAGAGCTGAGGGGACAGTGCCCAGGCCCAGAATCCAAGTCCCGCCACCGAAAAAAAGAAAAAGGAAAAGGGGGTGGGGGGAAAGGCTGGTAGAGTGCCTGCCTTGCATGTATGAGGAACTCGATTCCTCAGCACCACATAAATAGAAAAAAAGAAAGCCAAAAGTGGCACTGGCTTAAGTGGTAGAGCACTAGCCTTGAAGAAGAGCTGAGGGACAGCGCCCAGGCACAGAGTTTAGACCCCACCATTGACCAAAAAAAAAAAAAAAAAAAAAGTTCCTTAAATGGCAGCAAAGGAAATGCCTATTAGATATAGCTGCTAACAGCCTTGAGTATATCTGAACCCCAGCCACTGTCACAGAACCACAGAATGAACTCGCCAGCAATTAAGGCACAGCACAGGACACTTCATCTTGACACTCGGCTAGCAATGTACAATGAGAACCAGGATCATGCACAAGGTCTTTGTCATCTGTCACGGAACCATCAAAGTTACCAGCTTCAGTGCTTACCAAGGTGTGGGTCCAACAGGTGAGGCTGCTCTTGGTATTTATCCATAATCACTAAAAGGAAAACAACATGAAAATGAACTATCACTCAGCCAGGAATCCATGTGAGCCTTAGAAACCCTACGGTTGTCCCCCAGCATCTTCCAAGGGCAGCTCCCTGTCTTCCCAGCCCTCGGGCTGCCAGGAGCATGCCTGCTGGCAGGTACCCCACAGGCCCCTGGGGAAGCAGACTCACCCTGCTCCAAGCCTTCAGGGGGACACGCGGCTAGATCTCTTGCTCCTCATTTACTCTGTACACTCTCCTGGGAACTCGGAACCCTCCTTCTCACTCTTCCTTTTACTAACTCCTCTCCTTGTTTGATGACCCTCACTCAAATCCACAACACACATCACCATCACCATGTTCTGTTTCTCATTCTGGAGCCTGAGCTCAGGGCTTCAAGCCCATCCCCAGTCCAGCATTTTGCTGACTAATTAGAAATAATAAAAGTCTGGTGGTTTAGTCTGCCTCAGCTGGCTTTGAACCTTGATCCTCACAGCCTCCTGAGTAGCTAAGATTACAGGGTTGAGCCACAGGCACTCTCCTGCTCCTGCTCTCTACCCCTACCGGCGGCTTCTATCCAATCCAACTCCCTCTTTGCCTGTGCAGTACTCACCTGCCATACCTCTAACGTCTGACCAACACTGACTGCCTCCCAGGAACAGGAAAACAGACTTCCACTGTTCCCTGGATATTCACTGTACCTCAGAACAATTCTGGAATGAGATATTGTTGCCACGAACCCAAATTTACAACTGAAGAAACCAAGACTCAGTCATCAAGTAAATAGCCCTGTGAAACGGGTTCAAAACCAAGGCCTGCAACACCAAAGCCTACATGCTTTCCCCGAAGCCCAACACTCTGAACCGACCAAAATCAGTCATTCCAACCAAGCAAAATTAGAGAGATTTCTTAAGCTATACAGTTTCACAAAAATGGCCATAGTTAATTATCAAAAACCTCCTTTGGGAATCATCGATCATAAATGACTGCAAAAGTCTAAATGTAGAGGACTCGCTGGGACGGCCCACTCTCTGGTCCTGCCTACAGCCCTGGTCCTCACTGACTTCCCAGAGTCCGGATAGAGCCCCGCAGGGCCCGACTCCTTCCCTTCCCCCGCTGCAGGCTGCTTCTGTGGCTGTGGAAGTGGTGTGTGTTCTCTATGCCTGTGTTTTCCTCATGTCCACACACAGCAGTCCATACACACACACGGCAGCCCACACGCAGACATACACACAGCACTGCACACACACGGAGGCCGTCTCACAACAGTCCACACACAGCCATCCATACGCACAGCAGTCCACACACACGGAAGTGCACACACAGCAGTCCACACACGCAAGGCAGTCCACACACACTGGTACACACGGCGGTCCGCACACGCACGCACACACACAAGACAATGCACACAATCACAGTGGTCTACACACAGTGGTACAGTGGTACATACATGATGCACACATTCATGGCAGTACACACATAGTGTGCACACACATACAGCAGTACATACAAAACACAGTGGTCCACACATATGAAGGGTGGTCCTCACACACTGTCAGTGGTATACACAAGGCAATGCACACTCGAGGCAACCCACACACAGCCATGTGCACACAGCGATCCATATACACTCATGGCAGTCCACTCACACATGTACAATACGTACACACAGAGGTCCAAACACATGGAGGATGGAGGTTGGTTCTCACACACAGTGGTCCACACACACAGTGCTATGCACAGTAGTACACACACGCAGGGGAGTACTCACACACGCAGGGTCCTCACACACACAGGGTGCTCACACACGCAGGGTCCTCACACACACAGGGTCCTCACACACGCAGGGGAGTACTCACACACGCAGGGGAGTACTCACACACGCAGGGGAGTACTCACACACGCAGGGTCCTCACACATGCAGGGGAGTACTCACACACGCAGGGTCCTCACACACGCAGGGTCCTCACACATGCAGGGTGCTCACACACGCAGGGTCCTCACACACGCAGGGTCCTCACACATGCAGGGTGCTCACACACGCAGGGTCCTCACACACGCAGGGGAGTACACACACACGCAGGGTCCTCACACCCGCAGGGTCCTCACACACGCAGGGTGCTCACACACACAGGGGAGTACTCACACACGCAGGGTCCTCACACACGCAGGGGAGTACTCACACACGCAGGGTCCTCACACACGCAGGGTCCTCACACACGCAGGGGAGTACGCACACACGCAGGGTCCTCACACACGCAGGGGAGTACTCACACACACAGGGTCCTCACACACACAGGGTCCTCACACACGCAGGGGAGTACTCACACACACAGGGTCCTCACACACGCAGGGTCCTCACACACGCAGGGTCCTCACACACGCAGGGGAGTACTCACACACACAGGGTCCTCACACACGCAGGGTCCTCACACACACAGGGTCCTCACACACGCAGGGGAGTACTCACACTCGCAGGGTCCTCACACACGCAGGGTGCTCACACACGCAGGGTTCTCACACACACAGGGGAGTACTCACACACGCAGGGTCCTCACACACGCAGGGGAGTACTCACACACGCAGGGTCCTCACACACGCAGGGGAGTACCCACACACGCAGGGTCCTCACACACGCAGGGTGCTCACACACGCAGGGGAGTACTCACACACGCAGGGTCCTCACACACGCAGGGGAGTACTCACACACGCAGGGTCCTCACACACGCAGGG